TTAAGGTGAGAAGAACTCAAAAAATGACTCTGTATGGCCACCAATGAATTGCCAATTGAATTTGTTTCGGCATAAACGTTTCTAGTAGAAATAGTATTCTCAAAGACGAACATATTGCAAATGCAGTATTTTGAATTCTAATTCTTTTCTTTTTAATTCTAATTCTATTCTAATTATTCCATTATAAATTAATTTCATAATGGGAATAATAAGAAGACAATGTAAAATTTAAAATTAATCAAAACAGCAACCTTATAGCGTAGATTTTGAATAAAAACTGAGGATTTCGTGGGTGATTAGACACATACCAATTTTCTTCAGATGGAAAAAAAATTCTGCCTTAAGGAATGCTTTATTATTAAAATTAGCCTTATGAGTGATGATGGATCACATTTTTTTTTGGTGCCCTTAAAATTTTATTCAATTTTATCGGATTTTTTTTTTCTTGAAAAAGAGGGTTTTGCTCTGATCATTCTTTAAATCTGTAGTTTTATTGAAAATTACCTTTAGATTAGGTTAGGTTAGATTATGGCAAAACACACAACACACTAGCTGCGCCATTAGTATCTTGGCAGAGTTTCACGCGTTCGCATATTCCATTCGTTAGATACTTTGATACTTTCGTCGGTATACTAGCATATAGTAGGAGATATTTTCCCCTCCACTTACCAGTACGTTTTAGGAATTGGTGAAATCTGCAATTAAATACATATCCTCTAGATGAGATGAATTTGTCGAGGAAGAAGTTTAGAGCACTTTGTCTCTTGAAAGCAGACCGGAGGCTTGGGAGCTGGTCAGGTTTGTTCCTTCGACGAATCCTAAGATGCGGAGATTATTTGCAAACTATATACAATGACTACTCAAAATGCACAGAAAATTACGTTCCATATAAAGGAGACGAGGAAGAGTCTTTCAGATTCTTAAATTTGAAGAAACACAATTTTCAACAAAAAACTGCGCATAACAGAAAACAGCGCACAGAAGTATTGGGTTGTCATTTGTTATCGTGATCACATGGGTTTTAGTGAAGCAAATGAGCAGCAGAAGGTCTAATAAGTATATCCTCCTTCGGAATCTTATAGACTAAGATGTCAACGAAGTTTACGGGGTTGTTCCTTATTGATCTGTTGATAAAATTTTCATTTATCCTGGTGATGAATTGTTTAATTGATTCCATCTTCAGATCTGAATGCAGGCTTCTATTCGAATTAAATAGGGAGCTTTTGTGTCAATCCTTAGAGCCTTGTTAAGGAGAACCTGAGGCTTCTTAATGTCCTTACCGCTGGCGTTGCCCCAGACGGGGAACGCATACGCAACAATAAGTCTTATGATCGAGAAGTAGCATCTCCTTTTCAGATTTAATGGGAGTCTAACACTTTTGAGCAGCTGGAAAAGCCTGATCTTCATGCTATAAGCCTTTCAGCACACGTTAGTCATCCGGTTGAACCAGGTAAGTCATTATTTAGGGTAAGCACTAAATAATTAAAAGTATTCACTTTAGGAACCTGGGTTCTGAAGAGCGTTAGTTCTTTCTTAATAACGTCTCTGTTGCGGAATTTTCTGATTAGGAGAATTTTTTACTTCTCAGGTTGGATACTAATTTTCCACTTGCTGCACCAGCGCTCGATGATAGGGATTTTTTCCTGAATTTTGACCAGTGCTTGATTTGGATTCCTTAAAAATTATCGTGGTATCAAGAGCGTAGCAGGTAATTAGCGAGTTGATATCCTCATTAAAATTAGATAAATTATTCACATAGAGAATAAAAAATATTGATTCCAAGATTGTCCCAAAAGAGATTCCTGCTAGGATATTTTTCACACTGGAAAATGTTTTCCTATGTCTAACCGTGAAGGTACGGTTATCCAAAAAAGATTTGATCATCAATACCAGATGTCTAGGTAGGTCTAATTTGACTGGATACCAGACGCGGTCAAATGTTTTGGCCACGTTTAGCATCAGGACAGCGCACTTTATTTTATTATGTATAGAACAGCCCATGAATTCGATGAGAGGAACAAGCTGAGAGCTCGTAGAACGTCCTTTACGAATGATGATGGTCATCGAGGCAATGAAGATCACCTTTTATTCTGTTATAAATAAATCTTTCCACAATCTTGCTTAGCGATGATAACAGGCTAATCGTCCTATAGTTGGCAGGGTTGTCACCCGGATTCCCCGGATTGGGAATCATGAAACTTTTCACATGCTTCCAGGCATGAGGAAAATAATGATTGAGTAAGCACGCATTGAGAATACTCGTTAACTTAGAGAACATCATGTTATCTTCAACGGCATGTTTATCAACATAAGGTTATTAATTTCATCACACTTAGGGACTTTCCTGGATGGTATTGTTAGGTATTAGCAATGCCATTCAGTTCATGCGGGGAAGCGAAGTCTGGAATGTTCATCACACTGGCTGAATTAGCCAATTTGCAATACATTCCTTGACCTCCTGGTCTGAACCACTATCTGATGGGAAGGTGTTTTAGGATAAACTGATGAGAGATATTCAGTAGAAAGTTCAGATTTTTCTTCGTCCTATAGATGAAGACATTAGCACTTTTTATGGGATTGGATTACTGCAGGAACTGCCATCGGGTAGAGAATAGGAAGCTTACTAATACACCATAATCTGCTTATCTGACTCTCATTCATTAGCTACATGTATGTGCATAAAGCTAAAGAATTCATAAAAAATGTGCATAACATAACGGTCATAATTTTTCCTCTGTATTTTCTTCAAATTTATAATAGCAGTAAGTTTATGGATGCATGTTAACTCCAAAATCACATATTTCGTTGTCAATAGTTTTATCAGGTACTGAAACAAATTTTGCATGCAGAAGAAAGATACTTTTCCTCGATTTTCTTTTAAAATTCTACACTATACAATTTTTAAGAAATTTCCTGAAAAAAATATGGTGTTGGCGAAGAGCTCCTTAGGCTTTCAATCTTTGGCATTGTCGCTTAATCTTTTTCGCGTAACTACAACGTACAGACATATTTATAATAAATTTTCCAAACGCGTTTCTTTTATTTTATAGAGTTACATTACATCTAAATGCCTCTGTGTTTTATCGCAATTTTTGATTTGTTATAATTATTACCTTTGTATCAGTACGTGTCAGAAAAGATACTGGTTATATTAGTTAAGCTTTTTTGTCTGAAAAACTAGTGAAGCAAAGTAGTTTTCATTTTATACTTGAAAAAAAAACGAATATTATTACCTATTAGATAATGCTAGTTTATTAGTGTATGGTTATTGAAATAATAACCATATTCCAGAATATGAAACTAGAATATGGTTATTGGAATAATAACCATACCTCTCAGATAATACTAGGTTATTGGGAGAGCTTAAAAGAGCTACCTCTCTAACAGGAGAGATACTTTCATGGAGGACTAAACGAAACTAACTCGTATTTATGTTACGTATGAGGAAAACGACGAAAAACTATCTTGTAGCCAGTCCGTTCACTTAGAATCGAAACCAGGTCGAATTTGCAACATTCGGTGGGCTTAACCTCTTGGCTACTGGTGGAACAAGTGTAAGCCAAAATAAAGTTGCTGATTTGCCTAATTTTAAATCGGTAATGGGTTTTTAGAAGGACAGATGTAACACAAGAATTTTTTTTTCTTGTGACAAATTTCAAAAAATGAAAGAGAGTTGTTAAAAAATCTAAAAACAAATTGTTACCTGCTACGTAACATACATCATTAGAAGCATCTTTTATTATTTTAAAAAATTATAAATATCCATAAAATTTATAAACTAGACATGTTATAAATTAAATATGCTTCAATTAGATATATTATTGGAAAATGTAAAATAAACATTTCGGTCTTAAGAAATGTTCTTAGTTCTAGATTACTCAGGTTTTTAAAATCTCTGATTAACTTTGAAAGAAAAATTAAAGGTCTTATGCTTTCTTGAATGACAGCATTTTGTAATTCGGCTATGCGCATGGTCACTTTAAATATAAATTGGAAATTGTAAACACTTGCAGGGTCGATGCTAGAGGCTGTGGCTGTGCAACTAGTGAGGCTCTTTCCGCGATAATAATTTTAGAATTTAGGGAGACATTTGGTGACAGAAGTAACCACATAACTGATAAGCGAAATCCGCCTGATAGGCCCCCCACACATAAGCAAAATCAGTGGGGGCACTTACAATACTGGCAAACCAAAGATTTTGATTAAGATTTTCCCGAATGATTTCATTTTAGGAGAAGAAAGGTGCGATATCTTGAAATCCGTCCCTGGTGTGTTCTTCATCAAAATTGGGACAGAGCTTTCATTTTTTTTTTTTTTTTTAGTCCAAAGGGACTTGAGTCCCGAAGGACTATTACTTTCGTTTTGGCATTTTGCGTCGGACTCATAAATGTCGGTTCACTTTTCAAACTGTTGCCACAAAATGTTAGAGTCCTGCATTATATTTGAAGAAATTAAATAATGAAAAATCTGCATAAATGTATGTATATTTCTCGTATTGTGATAAAACAACGGTACATAGAGTCATCGAATTTTGAATAACGTAATCCTCCAACGAATATGAGCATGTGGAAGACCAAATTTGAAATTTGAAATTTGTTTTATGATCGATTTCCTATTTTTTAAAACTTTGACGAATTTTTGATTAACAAACTCAAGGATTTCAAAGCGAGCAATGGCAACGTTGTGCAGAAAAAACATTTTTATCTCCAGCGCGTGAGTCTCTGTATCGGAAATTCTAAAGATATGCTCGTTTTAAAACTATTTTGCGATATTGCTGTTGCACTGGATCTTATGGTTTAAGTGCGAGGAACATGATATTTAATAAAGAAAGGTAACACACAAAATGTTAAAAAACGCCCCTTTGGACGTAATTTAAAATCTGAAACATTTCAGATTTTTTTTTTTTTTTTATATATATATATATATATATATATATATATATATATAGATAAATTAGAATTATGATCTGAAATAGTTTTTTTTTTTTTTTTTTTTTACAGGTGGAGTTTCGTCTTTCTTTTCTGGTGAATCCCGTCGCCATGGTCCGTTTAGTGAACAAAGATGTTGGCTGCCAATCGTTTGACCTGCGTTCGGATCCCGGAGAAGGTATAGATGTTTGGAAGTTTATAGTGCACCAGAATTGCCCAAAAGGGCTATTAATTTCGTTTTGGCATTTTGTACCGATTCACTTTTGAAATTGTTGAAAATAAACTGATCATTTGATCTCTGGCGATCGTGCGTTTGATCGTTTGATATCTTTTTCCTGACAGGGCTTGGGATAAATGTTTATGTAAACAAATATTTAGAATTCGGAATGTACGGATATTTTTTTGCTTACTAGGTTGATTTATTCTTTATTCTTTTAAACGGATTACTCAATTAATTATACTTGGATTATATTTTCAGTCTAATATGTTTATGTATGAGATGTGTTGTGAATAACTATAAGTAAAACTACGACAACATCGTCTTCACGTGAGAATCACGTTTAATCATTAATGTGATATAGTATTTTTTTAATATTTTGTTGAAATGAGTTTTATTGTTTAACATATTTAATAAATAAAGGTAACACCCAAAACTTTAAAAAAAAACCGCCTCTTTGGACGTATTATGAAATCTGTAAGCTTTCAAACTTTCTTTTATTTTTTAGCCCGGGAGGGCTATTAATTTCGATTTGGCATTTTGCGTTGATTCACTAATAAACGGCGAATCACTTTTTAAATTGTTGCCACCAAATACTAGAACCCTGTATTATATTTAAAGAAATTAAATAACAAAGGTCTGTATAAATGTATGTATGTCTCTCGCACTGTGATAAAACAACGGTCCTAGAGCAATCAAATTTTGAGTAACGTACATCTCCACCCGAATATGAGCATCTGGAAGCCCAAATTAAAAATTTGTTTTATTATCTATTTCATATTTTGTAAAGCATTTATGAGCTTTTGATTAAGAAACTCAACGATTTCAAAGCAACCAATAGCAACACTGTACGGTAAAAAGAAAACATTTTTATTTCCAGCGCACGAGACGATGTTTCGGAAATTCTAAAGATATGCTCTTTTTAATATTTTACTATATTGCGTTGAATTGAATTTTATGGTTTAAGTGCGAAGAACATGAGATTTAATAAATAAATGTAACACACAAAACGTTAAAAAACGCCCCTTTCAGCGTAACATAGAATCTGAAAGCTTTTAGAACTTTTTTAATACATTTTTTTTTCTTTATTTTTTATTTTTTATATTTATATTTTTTTTTTAGCCCAAAGGAGCGTTAGCTCAGAAAAGCTATTATTCTCGAAACGGGATTTTGCTTTGAATCACTGCAAAAGGCTAAATTGCTTTTCCAATTGTCGCCACGAAATATTATCGCCCTATATCATTTAAAAGAAATAAAACAAAGAAGAATGTACAGAAACCTAGATATGTTTCACGCATTGTGAAAAAACGACGGTACCTAGAACCGTCAAATTTTGAATAACGTAATCCTCCACCCGAACATGAGTACCCGGGAGCCCAAATTTCTTTTATTATCTGTTTCACTTTTTGTAAAACTTTAACGAATTTTTTATTATCAAACTCAGTGATTTCAAAACGAGCAACACTGTTCAGAAAAAATAAATAAATAAGCGAGCGAGACAGTTTATCAGAAATGCTGTATTTAAATATTTTGTGATATTGCTGTTGAATTGAATTTTAAGGGTAGTTGCCTTGAACTAAAAAGCATCAGCTTTGTATAAAAACGTTATTGATATTCTAAAACATGAAATATTTAAGAGAAAAAGTTGCCTGCAGCACAGTGCGGCGTTTAAGTGAGAAGAACATGATATTTAATAAAAAGGAACACACAAAACGTTAAATAATCGTCCCTTTGGGCGTAATGTAAATCCGAAAGCTTTCAGACCCCTCCCACCCTCCTCCGCGATATCCGACTTAAACACTAAGGGCTGGAGATCTATGTAAAACTGATGAAAGATAGATTTGATAGAAATATATTTTTAATTGTATGTCATTTTTTAATGGCCGAGCACTTTATTTAATAGCCATTAGTGCCCCTGCAAGGAGCGGAAGAGGTAGTCATTTTATTATGGAAGTACCTAAAAGCCGTTTACGAAAGTACAGACAGGATTCGAATCCGGGCCCATCGCTACAGCAGTCAGAGTCACTACGCACTATACCGGCTGAGCGGCTTTATTACGTCTGTATGTGTCTCTGTTGAAAAAAAAAAAAAAAAAAAAAAAAAAGAGTACTGTACCATAACATTATTAAAGTTCACCTTTCTTTATCATTAATTTTAACTGCATTTTCAAGATTTATTTCAACTCAATTGATAACTGCAAGTAAAATAGAGGGTTGGAAATGGGGGAATTTATACTTTTACTTTAATGTTCTCATTAACTCGGAGTCTTTCATTTTTGTCCCTCCATGAGAAAAAGAAGTTTATATTTTGAATAAATAACATAAATTATATTAAAATTAAATAAGATAAATTATATTTTGCTGCATATAAATGTGAAATAATGTGAATAAATTTCTAGAAACAAATAAATTAAAGTATAATTTAAACAAACTCTTGAAATCAATCATTCAGTTTCTCACAAAAGCAATCCACATTGGCAAAGGAATGAACTCCAATTTCAGTGACGTCATCTCATTAAGGGTAAAATAATTAATAATTCAAACCGATATCTGACTGCTAGACAGTGTTAGGACTTTACAATTTACATAATGGACGTGTATCCAAACTTAATTACTTTATGTTGTCTCTTAGACGAAAACTTCCACGAGATTTACGTTTGAAAATGAAGGCAAATTAGGATACCGCCCTTGACTTTTGAAGAGTTAACAAGCTCAAAATGACGCCGTGCAAAAATATATTCTTCTCTACCAACCCCAAAGAGTCATCTAAATCTATACAAGGTCAAGGTCATATATTCACAGGCTGGGTGGATGACACGCTTCTATTCAAGAGGCGTGGTTTTGTCATATTTGCAAAATGCAGTACTGTATCCAAATTTCGGAGTTGAGAGAATTTGGGATTTTAAAGAGAACAAATCTGGCAGCAGATATTCTGCGCGGCGAGGGGAATTCATTCCATTCACTCTCGCAATGTGGGCGTGAAAGAGGCCTCTTTGCTTCAACGCGCCCCCTTCCCATACAGCTCGATTTTCATTTAACGAACATCTGCCTGACCTCTAAAATGGAATAGCAGTAGAAATAATAAGCATGTTAAGTGCCCGAGACCCCTATACAGAGCGTGAACTACCATTCTGTAGGTAGGTATTGCAGGAGTGTGACCTATCCGTACTTGCCTCAAATTCTCTATATTTTTAGTTTTATTTTTTTCCCGGGGGGAGGGAGGAAAGGCGAGGGCTTCTTTCATTCTTTGCGCCCGTACGTGCCCTGTTCGTGTTCTTACATTGTCGGCAGATGAAGTAAAAGGAATTTATCAAATTGGCGAAGACATCCCTCGTTGGCGAAAAGATGCCGCCATGAAATTCTTACTTAGGTTCATCATTGAATTTAAATTATAATTAATTATAATGACTAAGATTATCATTACATTAGACACCACTTAATATGATCACGTTTGTCTACAATTACTTTTATATCACTAAATGATGAAGAAAACATATCCTTCAAATTAATAACGGAATCTATCTAATTGAGCATAAATATAATAGGAAATATATAAATAATTATTTTCACAGCGTATCTATGAAAAAAGTCGTTAGTAGTGGATTATCTGCAAGCATTACGCAAAGGTTGATTTATGAACTAATGTTTCTGGAAATTATTTGTCTAATAGCATACTCCTAATCTCAGTACTCGGAAGGCATTACTTATATCAGCATTGGGAAATTATCTGTACGTTCTTCAAAAAGTTTATTGGAATATGTGATTGGATCGCTTTCAGAAAGCCCCTCGCAGATATCTACTTCTGAGCAACAAATACGTCTACCTGATCGTTCTCAAAATCAAGTTATTAAAATATCTATGCCAAACCAAAATAAAAGTTTAATTTTTGCCTAATTTTAAATGTTCGACTAAAATAAAAAGCTAGCAATTTGGTGGTAACTTAATCCCTTATTTGGTGACCTCTTTCAGTCGCTTGGCTGTTTGGAAAATTTACTACGTTTCGAGAAACTCATTCTATAACATTTTAATAGCATTAACTGAACTGCTGAATACAAGAAGTGACGTATTTTTCATGCTTCTCTGCTTAAACGGGCGGGTTTCGACAGTACGATAAAATTAACCGAATGATAACTGTCACATTCTTGCCACTAGGTGGCGGGCATCTCTTCCTTTACTTTTGCTGTAATTAAGTTCCGAGAAGCAGTAGAGATTGGAACCGCTCAGAGGAGCGTAAAGACTCAGAACTAAAAATGTACTGTCTTAAAATAGTTATCACCTACCTTGTAAATAGTGTATATTAGCTTTTTATTTCAATAAATAATTAAAAGACAAGATGGCTTGTTAGCAGTAATAGAAACTCTTACTGGAAAACGTGATTATTAGAAGCCTGGCGTCGAGAACACTGAAGATGCAGCAGGTAAGGAATTTTACATTAATTTTATTGTAAATAGAAGAACCTGATGCAACATTTTTTATGGCGCCCGAACAGGGACGCCAGGCTTTTTGAAAAGTTCTAATAAAGTGAATTCAAAAGCTGAATATTAAAATTGAAGATTTTAATACTTGTTCTTGAAGTATTCAGCAAAAGAATAATTTTGTTTTTCTAAGTAAGAGTTAAATATTTGTTTTTCATGAGACGTATATTTTTTGTGTAAATGTTTGAATCTAAGAAAGATAATGGCTGAAAAAGTAGATAAATTAAAAAAGAAAAGAAGTATCTTAAGAAACTGCCGTTACAAAACTATTTAAGAAAATCGAAAGTGAATTAAATAAATCTGAAGGTAGTATTAATGAGCTCGAAAAAATTGTTAGAACAGCTTAATGCTAAAACCGAAACGCTATCTAATGCCGATGTGGAAGTTGAATCAATTCTGAGTGTAGATGAATTCGAAAATGAATTCGAAATTACAGAACAATATCGCGAGAAGATAACGTTATGGAAATTCAGGCTTAAGAAACGGATTAAGGAACTTATTCATGACTTAAATGCAAGTTTCAGCAGTTTCCGAATAATGACTTAAATGCACCGAACACTCAGCAAAATATAAAAGATACACCTTAATGTTAAATTACCAAAAC